TGATGAATCGGATGGATACTTGTCCAGCCCTAGGTGTATGGATGAAGAAATTAAGTTTTTGAAAATGAAAGATAAGGATATTTTGAAATGAACCGATGTGTGCTGAGAATAATTTTTTCGTTTGATGTGTACTAAAAAAATATGGAGAAATACAAAAAAAATGAGAAGTTGAAAAAATAATTAGAAACTCATGAAAGTATAAGTTATGTATGATTGTGCAAATAAGTGTTAGTATATTTTTATGAATTTGTAATTATTTTTTGTTACTTTCATTTTTTTTTTTTTTTTGTGTGGATATTTTTTCAAAAAATATCATTAAAGTATGTGCTTTAAGAATAATTAATTTGTGGAAATAAAATTACCTGATAGATATCTACCATGTTTGATAGCATTTATTTACCTTATTTGATTAATGATGTTTGGTTATTATTCACCCAAATAAATGTTTGGCTATAATTTTTTATTATAACATTTGACTTTTTCAATTCATTTGATCAAAATAAATAAAATTTTCGTAAGTTACGATTTGTAATTTTTTTTGCTTATTTAAAACCCTTAAATTATTATGGACAAATAATCTAATCTTTTTTTGCGTACAATTTTTGAGGGCGTTTTGAATATTTGCATAACAAAAGAATTATGTGATAATTTATTTAACGAACCAAACCAAACCAAATCAAGCCTTAAGTCCCATTAAATGAGGTCGGCTACATGAATCTTTCTTTTCTACACGGCCCTATCAAAGGGCATTTCATTAGTTAAATTAAGTAGATTCATATCTCTATTTAAAACGCTAGTCAACGTTAATCTAGGCCTACCCCGTCCCCTAACACTTCCATCTACCGTTACAGTATCGCATCTCTTCACTACTGCCTTTGTTGGTCTCCGTTGAATATGACCAAACCATCTCATACGATTCTCTCTCAACTTATCTTCTATCGGTGCTACTCCTACCTATTCCCGAATACACTCATTCATAATCCTATCTTATCTAGTCTTACCACATATCCACCTTAGCATTCTCATCTCAGCCACACTCATCTTATCTACATGTTGTTTCTTGGTTGCCCAACACTCCGTCCCATACAATATAGCTGGTCTAATAAGCCGTTCTATAAAACTTACCTTTTAGTCTAGTGGGTATTCGTTTATCGCACAATACCCCAAACGCACTTCTCCGCTTACACCATCCCGCCTTAATCCTATGGGCCACATCTGCATAAATCTCTCCCGCTGTTGTGATAATCGACCATAAATAACGAAAATGTTCACTCTTAGGCAATTCTTGGTTCTCAATCTTCACTTCTCCTCTGCTTTCATTGTTACTGTTACTAAATTTACACTCCATGTATTCTGTCTTAGTTCTGCTTATTCGGAATCCTTTAGATTCAAGAGCTTTTTTCCAAATCTCTAACTTTGTATTAACTCCTTCTCTAATCTCATCCACTAGCACAATATCGTCTACAAAAAGCATGCACCATGGCACGTCATCCTGAATATTTATCGTCAACTCGTCCATAACTAAAGCAAAAGATAAAGACTTAAGGTAGATCCTTGGTGTAACCCTACAATGATGGAAAATTCATTTGTCTCTCCAGCTGGCGATCTAATAGTGGTCACCACCCCTTCATGCATGTCCCTAATCATGTCAATGTAACTTTTTGTCATCCCTTTCTTTTCTAACACCCACCATATTATATCCCGGGGCACTCTGTCATAATTTCATTTTCATAAGGGATCCGAGTAGCTTTTTTACATGTTGGCTGTCGGCTACCTAACACGCAACCCTCCTCCTTAACCCGGGCTTGGGATCGGCGGAGTTATTAACAACCCCGGCGGAGTTTGATAATTTATTTAACAAAATATGTTTAATTATTTTTTGGAAAAATTGCAAAAAAAATTCGAGGATTTGAGAAATATTTTATTTGTTTTTAATTCAAAATTATTTGCTTATTTTTTTAAAGTATGACTGCTTGAAAAATATAATTGTATGAAAAATGTCTAAAATACTTGTTTTCAATAAGTTCAATAACTAAAATACATTTTTTCGATAATTTTACTTACCGAAAATAGACAAATAATTTATATTGAAAACAAATTAAAAGATTAAAATTAAAAATTCATTATTTATTTAAAAAAACAAAAAATCTAACCAACATAGGTGACTTTTGAAACTAGATCCTAAAGTGGTACTATACACCAAAATCACTTAACCATGTAGAAGTTCATTCTACGAACCATATGTACTGTATGTCTGAATGATTTTGAAAAGTTTATTCTACCAATCATATATACTATACGCTCGAATAGCTAAGTAGCCTAAAAAAGAATGGAATTTAAATCTCAAGATTTATCCCTCAAAATCTCACATTGCTTGGGTTAAAATTCATTACTTTTTGTTAAGCAATTTTTATTTTTGTAATTTTTTTTTTTTTTGGGGACATATTATGAAAAGTTATGCCAAACATATTTATAAATTATTTTAAACTAATAATCTAAAATAGTTAACTTATTAGGGTTTTAAAAATTCGCATTCATTCTCTCTCCCATTTTCTTCCTTCGTTCCTCACTGCTATGGCGTCCTCTTTCCTCCGCTCAAATCTCTCACTACTCTCGCTCTACCCTCCAACAACAACCCAACCAATCACCACCAACACACCCAGAAGTTTTCTCACCATACGATGCGGCCCACGAGACAACCGTGGTCCTCTAGTCAAAGGCCGAGTACTCAGCACAGAAGCAATCCAAGCCGTCCAATCCCTCAAACGAGCTCACAGACTCCACGACCAATCCAAGCTTAACCACCTCCTCTCTAAATCCATTTCTCGTCTCATCAAGCCCGATCTCATCGCCACCTTCAACGAGCTCCTTCGTCAAGATCACTGCGATCTAGCCCTCAAAGTCTTCTCCTCCGTCCGATCAGAATTCTGGTACAAGACCGATTTGGGTCTTTACGCCGATTTGGTCTCGGCTTTGGCGCGGAAAGGCATGACGGAGGATATTGACCGTCTGATTTGTGATCTGGAGGAGGAGGGTGTGATTGAATGTGATGATAAGGGGCTTGTAAGGCTTGTGAAGGCGTTGATTGCGGCTGAGAGAGTGGAATCGACGGTTAGGATTTATGGGTTGATGAAGAGGAGTGGGTGGGGGGCCACTTGTGTCGCTGATGAGTATGTGGCTAAGGTTTTGAGTAGGGGTTTGAGGAGATTAGGAGAGTGGAGGCTTGCTGATGAGATTGATGTGGAATTTGACAAGTTTTTCAGGGGTGTTTTCGACAAAGTTAGGCCTTAACAGATTTATAATGTTTTTTTTTTTTTTTTTAATAAATAAATTTTAGAATTTGATTTTAATTCTTAGTTTATATTATTATGATTCTTTTATGTTTTCTTGTTTTTGTTTTTCAACTAGAAAAATGCTATTCATATATATTACAATAATGTAACAATGTCATTTTGGAGTGCTACACCAAAAAAGCAACATTCCGGCAAGGCTGAAACATTATGTTGCAAAAGTTATGGTCACTGATTCTGTGAATGTTTGTCGGAACTATAATCATTGTTCGACTCACTAATTTCTGGCTGATTATTTTTCTTTTCTGTTTTGAAGATTCAGTTTTATTTCCTGTCCTAATGGATTTCATGTTTTAAAAACTGTTTTTTGTCCGTGTTTATTGCTTCATTGGTTTTTCATTGTTGGACATTAAAATTTAGTAGTTGTAATGGAATATATATTTGTGAAGCTTATACTTTTGGTTTAATAAGTTGATTCATCAGTTTGAAATCTGAGTTTAAGCATGAAGTCCTAATGTACTTATAATTTGTGCCCATTTATTTGTTATGCTTTGCAAAAGGCAGATTGAAACATGGAGAAACTGTTGAATGGACATCCAAGGATTTACGCAGGGGCTTGGAAGGAGCAAGGATCCTCTAGAGTGATTTTTTCCTAAAGTTTCCTAGAGTGTTACATTGTGTGGTTGAGATTTACTGGCAAGTCACATCAAAAAAAATTGATGTGACTTGCCAGTAAATCTCAACCACACAATCCAGTATTCTAGGAAATTTTAGAAAAATTTCACTCTAGAATCCTTGGTGGCTTGGAAGAGTTTGTGCCAATATATGAAACACGACCCATCAAAAACATGTATGGTATGGGTTTCGACCACATCTTTGGGCTTTGGTTCATCGCCCGATGGCTAAATCCTGATCTGATGATTGAGAGTGGTGCTTTCAAGGGGCATTCAACTTGGGTTTTGCAGCAAGCAATGCCAGACAAACCCATTGTGTCACTTTCACCCAGCCATCCTGAAAAATACGAAAAAAAGGGAACTGCTTATGTTGATGGAAACTGCACGTAGTTTGCTGGAAAGGACTTTGTGGATTTTGTAAGTCTTGACTGGCGAAGCGTATTTAAGAAACATGAAATTGAAGATCGCAATCGGGTTCTTGTCTTCTTTGATGACCACTAGAATGAATTAAAACAGTAATCACGTTTTGGAGATTAATCAAATTTATCTTTCTCAATACACTACTTATGCTATCATTTGCATGTGTTTATAAATTTGCAAATCTGAAGTTGTTTGCTATTTTTATCTTTTGCATATCAATGGATTACAAATTTGAATAAGTGACAGTGTTTTCTTTTCATATCATACTCTGTTGTGTAGGCTCAAGCAGGCTCTGAAAGCTGGCTTCAGGCATCTTGTTTTTGAGGACAACTATGATCCTGTAACTGGAGACCATTATTCCTTCAGGCAGACATGTGACCAATATCATAGAAGAGGTGCATATTTGCCCATTTTATCTTTTGTCACTGCAGGTCCTATTTGAAGTACAGATGGATTTATGGAGTGTGCGCATCACTTGACATGCATAGTTGCAACCCTACGGTGAAAAGTTTTTTTAAATTTGGGGTGATTTGGGATGATCTAAATAAATTTTTTGACTTTTTATGAAATATGGGTTGGATATGTGTTGGGTTTGAAATGATGTGATAGAGAGGTAATATGACTTAAATAAGATGATGCGACTTAAATAGGATAGTGACTTTTTGACTCTTTAACTTTTTTAAATTATGACAAATAAGGTCTTAATATTTTGTTAGACTATCTATTTTTATACCACATTCTCTTTTGACATCAAGAAATGGAAGTGCTTTCTAGAAATAGAAAATAATTTTTAAAAGTTTAAATTCATTTGTTATAAGAGTCTTTCATTACTAAAATTTTCTTTCATACCCAGAATTAGATATTCTGGAGGACCTTATTGGGGTTAGTGTCTTTCATTGGAAAAGAAAAAGAGTCAGAATGAGGAAATGGGGTGATTCATATTTATCGCATCTATCCAAGAGTTTCAATGTTTTGAATTGAGAGTTCATATTGTAAGACTGATCTGATCTTATCAATTGTTAGAATTTCTGAAAAAAATCATGAATTTTCTAGGATAGTATTAAAGATCTCATCGAAAACTTACGGCAACTTGCCAAACAAAGGCTAAGAGAAAAAAAAGCACAGGTATGACTGGCATAACATCTACAATTGGATTCAAAAAAGCATAGGCCTCGGGCAATTTGGCGAAGAAAAAACTACTCGAATAAAGGGCAAAATTTAATACAGATACAGATCAAACTAAAGATATTAAGCACAACAGACATTTTGTTCTTCGAGATAATTGCATTTTGATTGAGTTTTTGATATGAGTAAAAACGAAAAAAGTAAGGTAGACAAAAAATCATTCTTTTTCTTTGAATTCACCCAATCAAAAATCCTCCTATTCTCAAAGGAGAATTGTAACGCCCTCAAAAAAATAACATTAAACCCATTAAATAAGATTCATTAACATATAAAATAACCATATTCTTCCATTTATCAGAATTGCATTATATAAGTGTTACATGTTAACAACAAAAGCAAAATGCCCTACGGGCTTACAGCTTTCCAAGTTAACACTTGGTTACATCAAAAGAGTACTAACTCAAACACATTAAGCCCTTGGCTTGAATTTACATGTAATACATCAAAAAGTAAAACAACAAAAGTATGTCCGCCTCTAGCCTCCCAAGCTATGTCCTTGGAGGTGGCATGCTACCTGTACCTGAAAATGATATTCCCATATAGGGTGAGCCACAGCCCAGTAGAAATACACTAAACCAACCATGAACAATGACTAAAATATTAGCAATTGATAGATAGCCAACACTGAAACATTCACATAAATCACAAATTTATGTCATACGACTTATGAGTCCAAGTTACCTTTCATTTTCCTTTTTCAACGGATAGGCATATAAGTACTACCCACATTCTCAACAGATATGTATAACAACAATATCCACAGATAAGCATATAAGCTATATCCACATTCTACAACAGATATGTATAACCACAATATTCACAGATAAGCATAAAAGCTATATCCATACATCACAAAGACAAGCATATAAGCTCTATCTTCACTTCTTTAGACAAGCATATGAGCTGTATCTACGGAGTTCATCCCCTATCTTCTCCCAACACTATCCGGTTTAGAGGTACATCCCCTATCTTCCCCTAAACCGCGGAGTACATTCCCCATCTCCTCCTCTACACATAACGTATATAAACACAATGGTTCTATATACAATCACTCAATACATATAGTTAATGTATTCTATCAACCGTCAAATTCCATGACACACTTCATTGATTAGTTTCAGTTTGCCTAATCATCATGCATTGTCTACAACAATCACGACTATCCTCCACCGATAGCCCAAAGCAGTTACTTCTAAACAGAAAGTAAATGCACAATGGATATTCAATCAACATTTCATTTCCTCATTCTTCTCAATTAATTATCCCAATTAATTAAACAATGTAATTAGGTCAATTCCCATAATTAACATTTCAACCTTAGGTCCCATTTTCATCAATGATTCAACATTTATTCCATTTCTCTATGCCAAACATGCATCTAGGTTTATTATGAATAAAACCCCAACTTTTGTAAAATAACACAAAAGTCCCGAACTTTCACAAAATTACCAAACCAACCCCAACATCTCAAAATACTAAAATTTAAAGACAAAATCCATAGAGAGGAGTAGGATATCCCTACCTCAAATTCGGAGTCCCAAGGGAGAAGACGACAAAATCCAACGTGCTCCAAAACTCGAGATTTTCAGATTAAAATGTAGCCCTCGACGATCAACAACTTTTTTGTAAAGGCCAAAGGTGAGCAAATCACTCCTACTAGATCAAAACCTAGAGAGAAGGTAGAGTTCTAGAGTGAGAGGCTCAACAATGGTGATTTTGGAAAAGTAAGAGAGAGAAGAGAAAGTAAAAAGTGATTTGAAAAGTCACAATTTCGGGACTTAAACCCAGTCTCCCGCTCGAGCGTAAAACACCCCGCTCGAGCGTCACTCACAGACTCCCGCTCGAGCGTCCAAACTTTCGCTCGAGCGCCAGATGCACTCTCCCAGCATTTATACAGAACCAGGCCTCCGCTCGAGCTTCCAACTCTACGCTCGAGCGTCACTCAGACAACCCCGCTCGAGCGGCCAATCCCACGCTCGAGCGTACAACGCTGCACAGGAAAAATACTGAATGGGTGTAATCTCCGCTCGAGCGCCAAAACCTCCGCTCGAGCGTACAGGCCAAAATCTGGGCAACTAGTTTTGGTTTCTAAACTCAACCAACCTGTAACAAACCTGCCCAACACATCCTATAACTCAATTACGAAGTAAAAAGGATGTAAACAAAATAATAAACAACTACCAACATCCAAGAACACATGTCCGGATCACGGTATAACAAGGGTAAACCCGAGATCGCTATAAGAATAGAAGAAATTATACTTTCATACAATATCTTAATTGAATTATATGTAATGATCAATAAGTTGAATTTAATTCTATATCTATACGTGTCAAAATCCTAGCAACAATCTAATCTATCCTTAGATATTTGGACTTGAATTGACCACCAACCAATACCAACATTATTCTTTATTAGCGCCGAATAGAAACAAAAATGGAGCGTGGCCAAGTGGTAAGGCAACGGGTTTTGGTCCCGTTATTCGGAGGTTCGAATCCTTCCGTCCTAGAGCATATTCCATTCTATTAGAATAAAGATTCTTTTTTGAACAACTTTTTTTTAAAAATTTTAAAGGTCTAATATTGGATAGAATGTGATTCTTCTTTCTGCTTTTTAATGATTCTTCTCTAAATCATATCTTTCTTTCACAAACTTGAATTGAATCGAGTTCAAATGACACACAGATTTAACTGAATCTATTTGTAATCCAGATAAGAGAGGAACATAGAGCAAAAGGATTTGAATTCAAAAATAATTGGGCGGGGTTTTCATCATATGTTTATTCTCTTCATATTTATATTTAGGAAAGTTAGTTACTTAGAAAAACCTTCCGTCCCATATTGAATTTTCAATGATGCATTTTTAATCGAAATGCGAAAGAACCTATATTTCCTATCTCTTATTCCCTATTCTTTAAATGAAGTAGTCCAATTATTAATTCTCTGTGGATCTCTGAATTTCTAACCAAGAGGGAGTTCTTGGTACTATAATTGAATTCTATTAAGGGGATTCAATCTCTTTCTTAAGACTGGGTTAGGGTAAAAAGGGGAGCAAAGACTTAATCTATACTTGTTTGGCTTT